AAGTCCTGCGAACGTATTTTCGCCCCGCCTCGTCCTCGTCAGGAAGAAGTCGCTAAGTCATTAGCCGAGCTTTGCTTACTATATGGAGATGCTTAAGTGGGAGCCGTCCGCATAGCTTCGGTCATTGCCAAGCAGGCCAGCCTCTAAAGCTTCACCAGCTTGGCTCGCACACTCATTTGCTGAACCTTTCTGCACCATACGTTCGACGCGTAGGTGACGATAGGTCTAGCAAAGGCTTTTACTGAGATTTATATTTAACCCAAAACATTTGCATCACAATATATAAACTGTGCTGTAGAAGGTCAGAAATAGTGCTCTCAAATTTCCCGTGTATGACGAAGCCACATTGTCGGCGTGGCCAGACACCCGCCCCGGTGCCCTTGAGTGCAGCGAGTAGTGCATCCACTACAATGGACCATAGAAGGAGCGAAAGAACACCGCCCTACGGATACTCTTTTGCAGCGGTGATGGAGAGTGTGTCGTCAGCTATGCTGGACTTAATAATTCTATCCTGGAACATCCGACCAACCCATCTGCTCGTTTGTGCATTGACTGGCAGATGATATGATATGGGGTGTTATCAAAAGCACCCTCAATATCAAGAAAGCAGCCAACTACCAACTCCCGCACATCCAGTGACTTCTCGAGGACCCCCACTAAACCCTACAGAGAGAGCGTAGTAGACTTTCCTGATTGATAAGAATACTGGAGGCGATAACTTGAGAGGGAGACGATTGAGTTAAAAAAATTTCTTCTAGCAAAATGAACTGTTTATTAGAACCTAAATGCTGTTAATAGCTTGTAGTTTAGAAAAAAAGCGGTATCAAAATTTGAAAAAAAACAGGTAACGATTAAAAGGATTTTTAGGTTAGGATTAAAAGATCCACTACTTTTCTGTCTTTACAGAATTTAAAAAATGTTTGTGGTTTCGTTGCAACAAATAGTGAAAAAATTGCATTTTTAGAATTTAGAGGGGTTAATACTTTTAGAGGGGGGAGATAGGTGAAAAATTTTCTTCTACGGCAATCGGTTTCTAGTAATGACCAATTCATGTACAAAATTTCGGCTTTCTATGTTCAAGGATGTAGAAGTTTTGTAAACGGACATAAAAAGACGGACGAACTGACAGAGGGAAACTTTTTTCAAAATTTTTTTTGAAAAAGTGATAAACATAATTTCGAAATTCCTACCAGCAAATTTTACGTTTCATATTTGTAAAAAACGCTATAAAAACTTTTTGAATTACTTTTTAAATTTGTTTTTAATCCTTTTTGGAAAATATTTTGGCTTTTTTTTAAAATAAAATGGATAAAAGATATAATCTACGCGACTTTAACGAATATGTGTATGCAGGATTGTGTATCTATGCATGAATGTGTTTGCAAACATCACACTTGTGTTCTTTTGAATATAAACTTATATTTTATTTAACAGAATCCATCATTTTTCACCTTGATAACGTGATCTAAAGAATTCATAAAAGAAAGATTTTCTTTATAGAATAATTTTTTTTTAAAAGTTTAATGTTAGATAGATAAAATTTCTTAAGTATCACGTATTTTCATAATAAACGCTTTAAAAGTTATTCGTGGAAAACATTTTTGAATATGTCATAAAATTAAGCTTCAATTTCAGATTTTCAATATACTCGTATGCTGTTGAGAGAATTATGACTTCAGATATATAATAAGGTTTATTACGAATTTATCATGGCGTTTATAATATGGATAACATTTAGGTAGCTTTAGTTTAATTTTGAGAAGATAATATGAGTTTTCTGCAAAGCTTCTATGGCTAAAATTTTATAAGGTTCAAACACTACTGCGAAAACCTTTAGTTTTAGAAAATGGAAAATCTAATGATTGTTTAAGATAGACATCATTCAATTTTTTTCAATCAATTTTATTCACCTAAGATATTTTGCTTTGATGGACTGTAACTATTAGTAAATATTTGTTTTTGTAGGTTGGTGTAGTATAAAATTGTAAGTGTGCCGCCGTTATACTAATGCGGGGACATATTAAGGTGATTTTATAAGAAGGCATATAAGGCAGTTGAATAGTATAGTAGCTTACATTGAGAACATCATATGTAAACAACTTTGGGAAAAATTTGAGAGTGCTATAGTTTGTTTCTAAATAAAATCATCTTTATGGGAAAGCAAATTTAAATAAAGGATATTTATTTTCATGTTGAATATGTATATGCGGAAGCTACAAAAGTTACAAAAATAATTTAGTGTTCTTCAACTTAAAAAGTAATTTTCGACAAGATCTTTTAAATTATAATTTAAAATTTAAATTGAGGTTGTTAAAAAAGCATAGGGTCAACATTTTTGGAAAATTTTAAAGTAAAATTTAATATCCGAATTCCACTTGTTTCAAAATACTAATATTTAAAAGAAATTTTAAATTATGTTTTTCCTATTTTCAAATAATATTCTATCTCAATTATTGTTCTGTTCTAGATGTGAGGGGATTTTTTATCAGACTGCGAATATTATTTTTATAAGAAATTTATGTGGCAGCAAAAACATGATAGGTAACAAGCTTTTTAAATTTATAATATTTCAATTTTCAAAATTAATTTTGTTGGAACTTTTATGGTTTAACTTTTTTAGTATAAATTTCAAGACGCTTTAAAAATTATTTTCTCCAATCCTTACGTCTGCGTGTACCTTATCTCATTCTTTTCAATTTTTTATTTCTAACTTAAAAATAACAAGTAAAAACGTTTCAGTCGGTATAAACCGACTCAATCATACCCTGCACTTTAACAATCTGAGTTTGTCAAACCACTTAATAGAAACTTCACGGATATGTATGACCTGTAAGTGGACACACGGTGTTGAAGTCTTTTTCAGGTATATGGCAGCTACCTGATCCTGTCAATTAATTCCAACAAAATTTTTGAAATATATCTAGTCTGGTTAGAAAAAACTGAAAAAATAAAACAAGTGAAAAATTTGTTTTTCTGTAAATTTCGAATGCTTGATATTGCGCAGGTACATAAAATAAAGAATCGAGAAACATGTCTATTTTAAGCTCTTTACTAGGCATTTCAAAATTTTGTTTGTTTGAAGCTCTTATCTTGTTCAGAATGGAAGTTATAATCAAAAAAAACTTGGACAAATTAAAATTTCATGAAAATGCGTTAAAATCCCTGTAACTCCGAATCTCCTGAGATTTTCCACCTAGTCTAGAGCAAAAGTTTTACTCATTTTCAATCCTACAATGATTACACCCTTTACGAAGTGCAGGGTATAAAACACAAGCAAACAGTCAATTATGTTTTTTTTTATTTCTCTCTAAAAATTTTTCATTGTTTTTTTTTAGAATAATCGACCTAATTTTTTTGTCTCCAATTTTTTTTTTTTTTTATTTATGCGATTTTTAATATATCACTGTAGGTACATTTGCAAATAGTAATAGCGCGAAATACGAAAGGTAAACAATTCAAGTTTTTTTATTGATTCGGGAAAGCCGTTCCTGTTTGTCTAAAATTTACAATGTAAATTTTTATTAGAAATTTTTGTCTTATATCTGCACCATTTTCGTCCGTTTTTTTTCATTTTTTGATCATTGTGTTTTTCTTATTATTTTGCATACTTCAGTAGATAAAATGTTGCATGTTTTAACTTAACAGAGAAATGATTCAGGAAAACTGCATTTTCCCGATTATGTGAAGGCAACTGTTATAATTTTTAAAATTCTTTTAATGTAAAAACGAGTTTTATTACCATTCATAGAGCAGGCCTTCAACCGTTTATAAATATTCTTTTATAAGATAAATTAGATTAGTATTAATTAAATTGCAAGTTGAAAGAAATTTTATTTATCATGAAAAATTATTTGAGTTTTAGTTTCATGGAAATAGTGGGGTTGCATTCAAAATGTAGATAAAAGAGAATGACATTTTTTAAACAAAATAAAACGCGTTAAAGAAAGAAAAATTTGAAATTTCTCAGTTTTAGACACTTTCAAATTAGAATCCAACGGAAACTGACACAAGTTAAAGCTAAACTAAAAAACAAGCTTTTAAATAAGTTTGTTTTTTTTCCACAATATACGAAAGTTATAGTATGTAACGATCCACAATATTTTTAAATGTCAATAGCTTTCAATGAACTTGGAACTGACCCTTATTTTATTAAAGTTTTTCAAATGCCCTAGTTGTTCATGATCCATTCTGTGCAATTAAACAAAATTTACTTCGAAGGAAGCGTTCTATTATGCAATGTTTCATACGCAGATGAAGAACAGTAGGTTATAATATAAAAGAGAGCAAGCTTTAACTCAGAAATGTTCATTCTTTTGAAAATATTTGGAACAGTCTTTCATTATACGGATTGTGTTATTATAAGTTTTTAAATTCTCCTGAGATAAAAAATTAAAACAACTTTTTGACAACAAAATTTAAATATTCACCACACAACAATAATAATTCAAAATTGTTTTACTCATATTCTTAATGTGTACATAAATATTAAAAACTATGGAAGAGGTTAGAAGCTTTTCCTTGAAAATATAAAAAAAAAATAAACAAATAAATTTAAAACGAATTTCAATTGAAATTGAAAAACACCAATTTTAAAAAGTTTTTTTTTCTAAAGTTTTAAAGTTAAACGCACAAACAAATTCTATTTTTTCCGTCAGTAAGCTTTTGAAACAGGTGCCTCTTATGAAAAATTCAAGAAATTTCTTTTATTTGAAAGCATTTATAGTAGATTTTTCAATTGAAATAAACGAAAAATTTCTTTCAAACTTTTAGATTAACATTTAGAACATTCAGCTATAGGATTTTTACTAATGTATAATTGTATGAACTATAGATTTTTAAAAACTGTATTTGTTAGATTAACTGATTGTTAGATTTGAAATGTTACATGGAATTTCGGCTCTGCTTCAATTACATTAAATATATATTCCTCGTTCCATAATTTTATAGAAAACTAAATCTTATTACAATAAACAAAATTTTGATTATGAATTTTCACTTACCAGAAGTCTTCTATATAATATTTTTATTTCTTCCAATGGTGGTATAGATTCAATTGTCCATGTCATATTATAATGATCTAGAGCACCACTGGTTGCTGGAGAAATAAATTCAGCTGGACCAGGTCGCCCCGAAACTTCTATATATTTTTTTGTTCGGCCTAATGCATTATCAGCAACACAACTATAATTTCCAAAATCTGAATGTTGAAAATGTCGTATTGTTAAACTATATCTATCATCTCTTGAATGCATAGACCTTCGATCTGTTGGATCCAAGAGAAATGAATTCTGGTACCAAAGCATCTAAAGATTTATATGCCGCAAATAAATAAAATTAAATATTAAAACAAAAAAAAAATAATAATTTTTTTAAATTAGAATAATCATAAAAAAAACAAAAATTTCAAAAATTCTGAATGTACTTTGTTGAATTGTAATTTATTTTTTAAACTCTTACCTCAGAATTCACATCACCATGTACGGTACATACCAACTCAATATCATAACCTTCAGCTGCATGAACCCATGATTTCTCAACAGTAATTTCCGGCGGTGCTGTTTATAATAGAAACCATAATTTCTCAGAATATTGAATTTCAAATCAAATTTAAAAAAATAAAAAAGAAAGCGAGTATAAATGTAAAGTAAAAATTTTTTTCTAGAGGGTTAGAATATTTCCTTTTAGATTCCAAGAAAAAAAATATTTATTCAAATTAATTTCTGTAAATTGATTTTCCGAGTTACTTTGTATTTGTATTTTGAACATCTAAATATGAATTGAACGGAGAATAAACTACTAAAAGGAAAGGATTAATTAAAAGCAATTATTAATGAAAAATTTTGTTTTAAAGTTTTCACAATTATTATTTAATCGCTTCGAAAGTTGTATTTCCATATATATATATATATATATATATATATATATATACATATATATACAGATGAAAGAATATGTGTATGCATGTAAATATTTGAAATTTGCTTAAAACTTGCTATTATAAAAATTTTTATGTTTAGCCCTTTTTCAAATTAAACACTCGACATACTTACATAATATATACAGAATGTATTATACATATATATGTATGTTGAGACTTAATAATACATATATTAAGATGATACTTATAATATATTATTAATATGAAGTAAAAATAAATTTTTCCTTTTAAATTTCTTTAAAATAAAAAAATTTAAATATTAAAAGGAGTATTCGGCTGTAGAATGCTTCACATTTAATGAAGCCTGCCACCTATACGAAAACGTTTAAATTGTTGAACAAACCAATTTGATTGTAGAATTGTTAAATAATCAGTAATAATGATTATAAAATTTAAATTCTAAATACTTTTTATTATTGTATTAATTTAGTTATTTTGAAAATAGCCATTAATTTATAACTCTAAAACCTGAAACGCATAGCAAAGTATTCTTTAATTCTGCAGGTTAGTGTAGTTTTTTGTTTTGGTTTTCAAAAAAAACTAAAATAATCTTTACAAATACGATAAAACCTGATGGCTGCTATGTTATTTGTTTATGGTCAGATTTGAAATGTGATATCATATTCTTTTTTTTAAAAAACCAAATACGACAATAATTATTTTGCTTGCACTAATTTTTGTTTTGATTAAAAATTAGTTAATTTTGACATTTTAGTTTGACAGCAAATTGACAGAAAGTTGTAAACAGATTTAAATTTGGTTATTAGTTCTGATGTATTTGCGAACATTGTCTTATAGTTATTTTTCTGTCGCCGTTTTCATAAAGTATCAACGTGTAGTAAATTCTGTAAAAGATAAAGCCGACAAAAATTAAAAATCCTTTATTTTTAAGAAAATTCTGCTGAAAACATTGAAAACTCATGCACATATTGAAGTCGGATACTCAATAAATATTTTTTTTTTTTTATTGCTTCTTCTCTCCTGGGAAGAGCAATAGGGCTGATGCACGATATTGTAGATAACAATAAACACCAGTTTCTTACGTCATTGAGTTTACTATGTAGGTAACGAGCCTACCGTAGTTTAAATATTTAAGGTTATTGATGTTTACTATTTTACTTTGCTGGTATTGTTTTTTTTTTTTAATATTGGATATTATTGAAATTTGGCAATTAGTTAATATGTATAATATGTATGACGTAATGTATATAAAGCTATATAATATTGAATATAACTTTTATAGTGATTTGACGAGGCTTTGAACACGAGAACCTTCTGTTAAAGGAACAGTGCAATGACCACTGCACCATTGGTGAGGTCAATTATATATAATACTCAATATATATTACTTTTTTTCTAATAGTTTGAATATTATATCAAAAAATGAGTAAAAGTATTTTTAAAAATTCTTACGAGTATTAAAATTTTCGAACAATCGAATAATCGAACTTTGTCTTTTATAAAAAATATTTATCGCATTTCAGTGTGCACTACTAATATTTGATAAATTAAAAGTTTTCAATTCATGTGGACAGAACGTTTTTTTGTTTTAGTAATTACATACCTACACATACGTTTTAAAATAAATTAATATTTTTATTTGAAACTCGATTAGTCCAATCCTTGCCTCTTTTATAAAAAAAAAAAATTTTTCACAAGGTGATGCAGGAATATTTTGTCAGCCAAATTTCAATGGATTCAAAATCATTAACACCTTTCTAAATGAATAATGTTATTGAATAAAATTATTTTATGAATCAAATGTTAATTATTTAATATTGCGGTTTATTATTTAAAACTAATGAAAAACACAAGATTTAAAAGACATAAAATATTAAAATGAATTCCTTAACTAATTCTGTACAATACAATTGATTTCATACAAAATATAATTAAAGAATTTAGAATAAGTAGTCCAAACAAAATCTTTTACATCCCCATAATTTAGGTAAATTTAGTTTTATTTTCCTATAAAAATAAATTAATGCGTTAATAAACTTCTTGAGAAAATTGTATGTATCAAAACATATAAATGTATTTTAAAAATAGATTCTATTTGTTTTATGATTAAAACTTAGAATTTGATATAGACGTTACTAAAGCACAAGAAAAAAATGTAGCGAACTATTCTAAAAATAGATTTAAAAATAACTGAGCTATAATTTACTTACAAAGAATTGTCAATTGAATATCCATAGATACACGTTCTTTAACACCATTATCAGCTGAACATTGATATATTCCTGCGTGATGTCGGTCCACATTTTCTAATATTAAAGTTGAACTATCCGATAAATGTGTTGGACCCGAAAACATATCTTTTTTATACCAATATATTGTTGGTACTGGATTACCAGATGCTTTACATTCTAATGTTACAGTGCTTCCTTTTCTTGCTGTTACTTGGCCATTATGAGGTAAAGCTCGCAATGTCGGTGGAACTAATTAATATATAATGTGATTTTAATACATAATTTGAAAAAAATTAATAAAACAAAAACTAATGTACAATAATTTTGATTACTCAATATATTTGACGTTATGATAAATACAGTATGTCGCGATATAAAGTGAAAACTGATATTTATGATTTATTAGTACTATTTATGAACAAATGTTGATAACCTAATTTTTAGCACTTTCCCAAAAAAATTTTGTAAAAAAGTGCTTAATTGGTTTTACTTTCTCCGTCCATCCACGGAAATGCTTACAAAGCTTCTGCACCTTAAAAGGTAAAAAGCTGAAATTTCATATGTACATAGACCTTTATTAGAAACTTATAGTCCCACAAAACTCTAAAAATTACATTTTTTAACTATTCATCGCAGATATTGCCAACCCCTCTCTTAAAATTTGCAAAACTTGAATTTTTGACACCTCGTATTTCTGAAATCACAAGCTTTTCTAAATTCCTATAAATGCAGAAGGCCAACAGTAAATACCATGTCATTAGAAAATATATTTAGTTTTCTTAACTCACTCAATTAACTCTTAAATTCGAACATTATCTTAACGCCTTTTGCTCATCCGGAATGCATGCAATCTTTGAAATATATTCGTAAATGAATGAAAGTAAGTTTAAAAAAGTAATATTTTGTTCATAATACACCTAATTTTTCGCAATATAGTGAAATTAGTATGTGTGGTGTGTCGCTGTTATGTTAAATTATATGAACTGCTATGATTTTATGGAATAGTTAGAAATAAATTGCATATTTATTGCATGTTATTTTTTTGCAGCATTGCGTTGATGAAGATTATTAAGATGTTAAGGTCAATGCGTTATCGTAATAAATATGCAGGCAATTGCAGAAAGTAGGACTTTGCATAAGAGGAGATTGTAAAGCTTATTTAAAAAGGGATAAAAGTTGTGAGTTAAATATTTTGTTATTGTCCATTTTTTATTTATTAACAGGCTTGAATTCATTAGAATTTTTTCAATAGTGCCGTTGTTGTTTTGATATAAATATGTATTTGACATTTAAGAAAAATTCAAAAGGATTTTCAAATATTATTTACTCGCTTTTACATAACTGTGAACATTATATATATGTAGGAAATAAAATCCGATCATAAAATGATCGGATATTTTATGATACAAAAAGATCATAAAATTCAAAGTAATAGAGATCATACGATTTATAAAATTACAGTAAATTACTTAGGTTGCGGCAAAATGTGAATATCATGTTACCGGCTATGTGTATTTTATAGCTACAATAATGATGTTCAGTCAACATAATCCTACATATATATATAAAGCTATAAAATTCTATATGTGAGCTCCATCAGTGCAATTTTTATTTTCCGAATATTAAGTTTAACAAAATAAAATTGAAGTTCTTTCTTATATCAAATTTATTTTTCATATTTATTTTAATTAATATTTTATTGTATATCAAATTTTTTGTGACTATAATGGCCAACACTCTATTTACGTTTTACTTACCTAATATTTCTACAGTGTGTACCTGATCACGATTCTCTTGATCACCCAATTGGCATATATAATCACCAGCATCTTGAGTTTTAACACTATTTATTTGTAAATTATAATCATTTACTATTTGAAATCTGGGATCTCTTGTTATCATTAAATTTCCAGCTGTCAGCACTGATGTGCCTTTCCTCCATAATAATACATAGGAACCTAAATTTTGAACTTTACATGGGAGTTCTATTGTTTCACCTATTATTACTTTATATAGATGACCTCTAGATAAGAATTTTGGTGCTATCTCTTGTGTATTACTAGATTCATGTTGTGTCATATATGAGCTATGTAGTTGTGATTTACCTATAAAAAATAATAAACTTTATTTTCGACATTATTTAAGATTTACTATTATTATTATTATTATTATTATTATTATTATTATTATTATTATTATATTTTTTATCCTCTTCCTCTCATATAAAAAATAATTATTAACAAAATTTATAATCAATATTTAAAACTTAAACTAACAATTTAAACTTTTTCTTAGAAAAAGCAAAAAAAAACAAAATATTTTAATAGATAATAGTCACAGACATTTTTATATCTTATGTATGAATAAAATTAGAGCTTTAAAGAAAAGGAAAAATTAAGCTTTAAAGAAAAGGGAAAACTAGAAATTAAGTAAAGTACTCCCTATTCGAAACAAGCTTTAATTATTTTAAATTTTAATTTGTTTTTACTTTAAAATTTTTCTACTTTTATTGAATATTGAAATTTTTTACCCACAATTTGAACAAACACGATAAATATAGATTTAGTTAAGGTACTGCAGTTAAATTCTGATTGAGACATCATGTACCCGTACACGATTTTAAGAGGTAAAGTATACAGATTTTTTAAAATTATGAAATGTATTAAATAAAGGTAAATTATAAAAGGTAAATAAAAAACTTATATAATAAATTATATTTACTTCAGAAAATGAATATTTCATTATTTACACCGGATAAGAATCGATTCCGTAGAAGTTTTCATAAATGATCCAAGAAATTTGTCATATAAGCACAATTAAGTCGATGAATTTTTGCCAGTCCTTCTTTTACCACGAACGATATAGTTTGTGTACTTCTTTGAAACAAACATATTGCCCACCCTCATTGAAATATACTTGACACTACAATACAGTGCAGAAACAGAAATACTTCACATCAATAAATCTAAATTGCTTTAAAAAATTAGATTTTCAGTAGATTTCAAGAAATACAGTCATTTCACCTCAATACTATTCAATGCCTATTGATAACATTTAATTAAAAATTAACAAAACATTTTAGCGTAAGTGAAAAAAATTTAAAACGATTATTTTTCCCATATTTTATGCACAACATGTATAGTTATGATAAACACACACTAACATATTTAATTCTACACATTTGTAAAAACTTACCATTGTTAATATGGGCGAATAGAATCAAAACTGCAAACAGCACGTAACAAAAATATTCTTGCATTGTGTATAACTGCTTAATTTTTTTTTCAACTTTTGTTTCCTGCAAAAAAAGACAAAAAAGAAAATAGTAGATTTCATAATATTTTTTAATAAATTGAAAAACTGAATTATTTTATTCCTAATTGAAATTGTAAAAGATAATTAAAAATAAATATTGAAAATATAATTTTTGTTTTTTCGCTCATTCAGTTTAATATTGTATAGTAAAATCTTACTTTATAGGTTAAATTTGGAAATGTCGATGCAATAATCTATAAGAATTGAAAATATATTCACATATTTGAAGTGTAAACTGCAAACAATTTTATAGTCCAACCTATCCTTAAGGTTTGAAAGATTATCGAACCAAAAACACAAAAGTAATCACTAACTTGTATAGTGATTACTTTTGTAATGTTTGCTTAAAAGTTATAAAAACAATAACAACTTTTTTTTGGTTTGTCTTGTTAATAAAGTTGTGTCAAAATAATGGTTTGTATTGTAGCATTCAGGAAGTGGAAATTCTGCTTTTAAAAACAATCTATGTATACTTACTACACTATTAAAGTTAGTTTAATTCATATACAAAATTATTTCTGGGATTGCATATATTTAGGACGAACGATTTATGCAGTTTTTGAAATAAAACAAAAATAAATTTAAAGAGGTGTTAACATATTGCTCGTTTTAAGGGTTAATTGTGTGAGTTAAGAAAAATAATTGTATTTTTTAATGACATGGAATTTACCGTTACCTTTCCGCGTTTATAGAAATTTGAAAAATTTTGAGGTTTCGCAAATATAAGGTGCCAAATATTCAAATTTTACAAATTTCGAGAGGCGATAACTTGAGTTTTCTAACAAAATGAACTCATTATTAGTGTCTAAAATCTGTTAAAATTTCAAACTTTTACGACTTGGGGCTTAGGAGAAAAACGACAACAAATATTTGGAAAAAACGGATTTTATATAACGGTAAATTTTAAAGCCCATTTTGTTTTTTAAAGTTCATATGTAGTACATCGCGATAGAACAAGCAACCCACTCCTTTTCTACGCTTTTAGAAGTTGAATTTCAAATTTGGTGCGTAAAATATTTACAAAAATTTATAGAGTACTTAAGTTTAATAAAAAGTACTTATGTTTCTACTTTTTCTATAGTAAGTTAAAAGTATTTATGTTTCAAGTACTTCTAACTTACTATAGAAAAACAGGGAGTTGTAATATTGGAGCACTATGAAAAAATTATTTTTACCAAGAGATTTGCCATTTTTTTCCAGAAATTATTACTCACATTTATACATATATAATTAAATTATGTATATATCAAACATAAAAGATCTTGCTTTTATGAAAACCTTTTTTATTCTTATGATGAGTGCAAAAAATGACTTAAATAATTTACACCTGTAATCTATACTAACTTTCTTAAAATTGTTTTTCTCTTTATTATTTAACATTCTGTTATCTTGAGTATTTTTAAGTTTTGTTTCGTTTTGTAATGATTTTTTTAAAACCTTTTTGTTTTGTAAACAAGCGAAGTATAGTACCCACCTATAACTTTCAAATTGATTATAAAAAATTTGACTCTACTCTCTAATTATTAAAAATCTCAAACACTTAAAAATTTAATAAAAAATAATTTTATTTAAAACTTTATCACATACTACAATTGTTGTCATACATTTTGGCATTAAAATTTTTATAGTTTTTAAAATGTTCAAGTTTTTAAAATTCAAACCAAAAATAAATATCAAATGAGATTATTTTAAATGGTTTTCACCTAAGAGCAAACGTAATGGGTTTATGTGTTGTTACGTATGTACGTAAATTAAATTAAATATTTTCGTAAATGAAACATGAAGCCAGTTTGTGGATTCTTCGTTTAACATTAAATAACTTACGTCTAAAAAAACTTTTATGTCGCTGAAATTGAAGCGAAATTGGATTGGAATTGAAATGTGGAATTTTCCATTGTATAATGTCACAAACCAATTGCTTCAGCAAAATTATATTGTGTTTTGAAAAATGTTTTTACATTATAGTTGTCCATAAACACAAATGTGCCTAATCGTCCTTTAATTGATTATTTCCCATAAATGATCTGTGGTGGTTGGGCATGAATATGAAATATAATTCTAATTATAAGAAGTAAATAAAAATAATTTTGATTACAAACCTGGCCAAGATTTGAATAAAGTTCACATACCTAATTATAGTTTTTTTATAACGTTAAGGTTTTCTTAATCAAATTTTAGATATAAACTCCAATTTGAGAAACATTGTTTCATATTTGTAGCTAAAAATTAAATTGAAATCTAGTTTTTGTCCAAATTTTACAGTTTTTATTAATTTTGTAGTTTTAACTGTGTACATATAACTACACACCCACACATATTTTGTAAATTTTTTTTCTTTCAATATTTTTCTTACACACCCATACAATAAGTTAGGTGATGTGATGGCAACAAATTTTGCATATCGAGTTTTCGGTGGAAACGCGCTTCTCTACAGTAGGGAAGTGTTAATAAACTATTTTTAGCAACCTGCCGGTTTGTCGATCTGTGTGTACACGCGTTCATCTCAAGTTCGGCTGAACCGATTTTCATGAAATTTTATTTGTGAGTTTATTTTGGCTATGGCACAGATTGATCAACTTTTAGGATATATCAGGTCTCGGGAACTGAACCCTGAAGGAGTGTTTGAAACTGATTTTCATAATCTTAAGCAATACTTACACTATAGTAGACAATATTGACATTGCTAAAATACATTGCGGTCGGTTATGTGCTGATCACATCAGATTTTTCATCTAATTCAGTTAAGTTTTTTCATTATTTTAATTTGTTTTTCTATTTTTATACCCTGGACCTTTGTGAAGGGTATATTAACTTCGGCATGTAACCGGGGGTATATTAACTTCGGTTTGTAACCGTCCCATCGCACAATAACTTGTATTTTGTATGCGTGTGTCCAATTACATTTTACATGTGCTCTAAAAATTTCAATGGAATGGCTGCACTGGTTAGGGTAGCTGCCATACAACTCAAAAACCTAATTTTATATATTCGGAAAAATAATAAAACTAGTTAGCAGTAATGTGCCCACTTATGGGTCTAAAATATCCTTGAAATTTTTATGGAATGGCTTAATAGGTTCTGATAGCTTTCACAAAACTCCTGAAGCTAATTTTAAACATTGGAAAAAGGAATAAAGCTAGTTGTATGAAATTTGACAGACGGGTGTTCTATTATAGCCCGGATATATTTGCAAAGTTTTTATGGAATGGTTTAAGAGGTTTGGGTAGCTGCCACAGAGCTCCAAAAGCCAATTTTAAATATTCGGCAAAATAAGAAAGTTATAGATTTATGAGACTTAGCAATCATGGGCTCATTTATAGGTCAGACAAATCCGCGAAGTTTTTTTGGAATGGTCTGATAGATAACTGCTATACAACTGTAAAAGTTAATTCTAAATATTTCAAAAACATGTCGTCATACTCAGATTCTGAAGGTACAGGGTATAATTCAGTCGGTTTAGATCGACTGAAACGTTTTTGCTTGTTTTCTCTTCTAGTCGAAATGCTAACATTGCTTTTTTGTGTGCCAAAGTACAACGTGGAAGCGAGTAAAGTGTATTTTACATTTCATTACATATTAGGATACAAAACGTGCAATGTTCGCATAATTTTATTACTGTTTTTTATTTTTAGTTTTTTTTTCAGTTTTCATTTGGTAAATGTGTGCTGGTTTTGGTTTTCTGCAGTATTCAAATTTCAAAGACGGTGGAGTATATCCTTTTTTTGTTTTGTGCAATAAGTGCTTATATAAGACTATTGTTACGATAAGATTATGATGAAAAAGAAATAATTATAATATAAATTATGTGAAAGAATGTTACAGGAAACATTGGAAAAAGAAAACTGTATATGACTGAAATTTATGCTTCAAGCATGTGTTTTTTTTTATAAGATTACAATTCACTTTAAATATTGCCGTCAATGTAAGTTAAGATTAATTTTATCTTAATTTTAATTTTAAAGTGTGCGTTCATATTTAAAGAAAATCAAGGATAAAAACAAGTTTCTTTCATTTTGAAGAATGTGATTACGTCTGCGAATATAATACTATATTGTTTGAATTTATTTTCTTCTTAATTCGATAATGGTATATTTTTAAGAAAAAAAATTATTTTAGAAAGCTCTTAAGATTTACCTAATAGTAATACAGAAAAATCATGGCTATTTAACAAAACCAAAAATACTTTTGCAAAAAAGTTCGCGGATGGAAAATTTTTCCACGGAAAGAAAAAATATACTTTCTTTTTTGATTAAAAATCTATAACAACTAAATGAACTGAAAATGTTCATATAATGTTATTTTCATATTAACACGTACGAGTATTAACATAATATTAAAATATTAATGTTAAAAGAAGAGTTCCACGGTAATATTAATGTTCAATTAAGAGTTATATGGTAATAAACTGTTTTGTACTTCGACTGAAAAATAATTTTGGGCGACTTCTTTTAGTCTTTATGAATGAAATGAAAATAAGTAAGTTTCTTCTCTATTTCTGTTTTGGAAATGTCGTCAAATATCTGCAACGCCATTGTCTACAACAATTAATTTTTCGATTTAAAATTTATAAATTCATATATTACCTTTACAAAAAACAATTAAAGACGAAAATTTCACATGGAACTATAAGTTGACTCATATGCACCATTCACCAACGATGTTGACCTTGCATTGTAATTAAATATTGTTTAATACGGTTATTAAATAAGCAAAAGAAGAACAAAAGATAAAGAGGGTACAATTCTGATTTATATCTCTTAACACCATAATTTACATACAAAAATTTTGAAAGAGGTTGTAATGTTGTAATGGCTAAATCGATTTTTATTTAATATTTTAAATCAATGTCTTAAATTTTCTTCTTACATTGGACTGCTGCCACATATTTTGTTCTGCTTTGAATGTCAGATTTATAAATTTTAATGGGTTTACTTACATTAATTATATAATAAAAAATTCCCAAAACGCATACAATCAAATTTT